TATAAATGAAAAAAAAACTCGTGATTTTTAATAATTTTAAAAAATTTTAAATATCATATCATCTAATAATATTAATTTACAAATTCGACAAAATCTTAAGTGAAATGTGTGAACTCGATAATGAAGATAAATCTCTTAACAAAATTGAAATGGATTATGAGATTAATTATGATAATATGAATAGTGAAATAATGAATAAAGGAAAAGAAGTTGAACGATATGAGGTCAAAAAAAACGAAGAAAAAAAAGACTCTGGTGATTTATTTTTTGATTTATTAGATTCTTCTCGGTTGATGAAAGATAGTAATCAAGGTTGTTTCGACAAACAATTATTCGAGCAGGCAATAGTTATTGGTGAGAAACTTTCTACAATTTCTGGGATTGATCTATGTTTTCGAGCCATGCGTTTGATAAAAGAAAAATATCCTGAAATTTTAGTAACTCTTGAGAAACCCTAGGGCAGTATATAATTAAAATAAACGTTTTAGAAAATATTTTATATATCATATCAACTTTTCTCTTGAAAAAAAGTTAAAATAAATCAAATGAATATATAGATATTTTTGAGAAGCCCAATAAATCAAAGATTTAAAATCAATGTTAAAATTTTTATGTCTCATAAATTTATATTCAAATATCTAAATTCGACATTATCATCAAATCAATAAAAACTTATTATTATACTGTATTTATTATAATTTTGTAATCACTTTTTTATGTTGTATTTATAATTAAAATATAAAAAAATTGAATTTTTAAGATTAAAAAAAATTATATAAAATTAATGAATTTTTATAAACTTCATAAGCAATCATCATGTTATTCGAAACAATTGTTTTCCTTGTTGCCTTTATATTTTAAAATATAATGTATTAAATAATTCCCAGTACTGTACATGTGCAATAATCATCTTTTTATATGCATCTTTTTTTTTGATGATTAAAATTTTTTGGATTCCTTACTGGAAAGGTTTCTTCAGCTACAGTATCTACGTAAATTATGATTTTTTAATGGTGTCTTCAAGACAAATTTTTTAACATTTTAAATTTAGAAGAGTCCAACGGTCTCTCTTTAATAAATAGTTCTTTTCAAAAATAATTTCAAGTGGATTTGATTAAAAATAAATAACCTTAAAAGAAATTCTATTGAAAAATAAAGAAATTTTCTGGGACCGATTAATGTAGGATCATTTGGGCCCTGGTATTCAGTTCCAATGTCATGTTTGGTAAGATTTTAAGCTCTAGAAAAATTTTTTATTTATCACCAATAATTAATCCTAGTAAAAAATAAATTTATATAAATCTGCTCAATTAAATAATAGTAATAAAAAATATTATCATATTCCAAACATCCCTAAAAATCAGTTCTTGCCCGTGATTTTATATATTTCACAAACAATAATGAAATCGTATCGTATTACTAATCTCGGGTATGAACTCTAAAATTATTAATAGAGAAAAAAAACAAAAAAAAAATGGCATTTTTTCATGCGTCTTGCTTCTTGTAGAACCAATTTTGAGTAGAAAAACGAGTATTTATAATGTCCCCTTGCTTATAATTCTTTCCGCCTGAAATGTAAATCGATTAAATAAATTTAATTGACGCTGACAAATACTGTATATAAAACCATTAAATACGTAATAGATTATCATTTTTGTCGCAATATTACATAATTCATTTATCCGACAAGCAGAAACGT